AAAAAAAAAAAAAAAAAAAAAAAAACAGGGTCAAGAGGGGCAGAGAGAGAGGGAGAGGGAGAAAGTCCCAAGCAGGATCCACACTGTCAGCACAGAGCCCACTGCAGGGCTCAAAACCATGAACTGTGAGATCATGACCTGCACCGAAGCCAAGAGTCAGATGCTTAACCGACTGAGCCAGGCATCCCCACTGGAGCTGCTTTTCAAGTCACAACTGATCCTCATTGTCATTATCTGTTCTTAGATTCCCTCACTCTCAGCTAGCATCTCTACCAGTCTAAGTGGCTTATCTAGTGTCATGACTCAGACTTCATATTTGAAGGGTCCAAGCCCATGGTCATCATGGCCTTCTCAGCCAGGACAGTGACTCCGCTTTTTCTTGTCAGATCCTTGATATAAGAAACTCAAAGCGCCCAAGTGGAAATCACAACTTAAAGTTCAAGGGACTCTTGCTATGTCCTCTGGTAGGATTGTGTATCAGTGTATCAAACACCATATAAGCCCTCAGTTAGTGTTCTCGGCTAAGGCCCTGTAGGTGGGAAAGGCAAAACCATAACTGGAATATCTGTCTGCTCTAGTGAAAGTGAAATTTTACTTTACTTTACTTTAATTTAATTTTATTTGTTTATAAATAGAGAGAAGGCATGAGTGGGGGATAGGTCAGAGGGAGGTGGGGTGGGGGGGGGGAGAGAGAGAGAGAGAGAGAGAGAGAGAGAGAATCCCAAGCAGACTCCATGCTCAATGTGAAGGCTGACACAGGGCTTGATCCCACGATCATGAGATCATGACTTCAGCCAAAATCAAGAGTTGGATGCTCAACCAACTGAGCCACCTATGCTCTCCAAAAGTGAATTCTTACACAGGGTAGAAAGGCTCTAACGTAGTCAAATTACCACAAAATGTCCAGTAGACTTCTATAAAAGCTGGCTCAGAATTGACCTCTCTTCTTGACAGCTTGGCCATTCAGCAGTGGTAAAGGGTAAATTTGCCTTTGTGAGTAGGAGAACAATAGTTGGCACTATGAATGTTCTCCATCCCTGCCACCATGGCTGCTCTGTGCATGAGCTCATGTGTCAGTAGTGGGGCCAGTAACAGGCTGGCAGACATCAAATGGCTGGGGCATTTTCTCTACTTAGTTGTTTAATGCTCCCTCTGTAATGGATGCTCTCTGATGGCTGTTATTATATAGTGGGGGCTCTTAAGCTGGGATGACCCTTCAGAGTTGTAGATGGTGGGGGGGGGGGTGCTTTATATTCTACATTGAACAAGCATTGGTTTCAAGTTGCCCTCAAAAAGAAAGTGTGACCTTGGGTAAGGTGGTTTCAAGTGGTGAATTGGTAAGTGTTTAGCAATTGACAATCTGCAGATAAGAAAAAGCCTGATGAGTAGTGTTTGCTGACGTTTATGATGTAGATAAGGGGTCGGAGAACTGCAGCCCGCTGGCCCACCAACTGATTTTGTAAATAAAGCTTTATTGGAAGATGGCCACATCCATTTGTTTGCATATTGTCTATTCACTTTTTCTACAGTAGGCAGAGGTGACTAATTGCCACAGAGAGTATTGCAAAGTCAGAAATTATTGCTATCTGCCTCTTAAAAAAATTTGCTGACTCCTTGTGTAAATACTCCCACCATGTTTGATTTCAAGCTACCAACTGAACTCAGAGTTGGGGACTGTTGCCCACCGCTGGCCCTCATGAGCCAACACAAGCCAACTGTAGCACACTGCGTTGGCTGCGGTCAATTCCTGGATAGGGCTGAGAGCTGGAGCATGAAGCTGGCAGTGTGCCCAGCATTGCATTCATTAAAATTCCTGCAGCGTCCTTAAAGGAAGAGGCTCTTATTATGACCATTTTTCAGATCAGAAAACTGAGGTTAAAAGTGTTATATCTAGGGGCGCCTGGGTGGCGCAGTCGGTTAAGCGTCCGACTTCAGCCAGGTCACGATCTCGCGGTCCGTGAGTTCGAGCCCTGCGTCGGGCTCTGGGCTGATGGCTCGGAGCCTGGAGCCTGTTTCCGATTCTGTGTCTCCCTCTCTCTCTGCCCCTCCCCCGTTCATGCTCTGTCTCTCTCTGTCCCAAAAATAAATAAAAAACGTTGAAAAAAAAAGTGTTATATCTATTTTGTCCTAAGTTATGAAGATAACAAGTAGTCAAGCCAATGACCAAACACGGATGTGTCACGGCCCCAAAAGATTCTATACCCTCCTATTCAGCTGGCTCAATTCTACCGTCTGATGCCATCTGTTCACTCACTCATTCATTCATTCATTCGTTCATTCATTCAACTACTGTTTAGTAAATATCTGCTAGGTGCTCGATATTATGATACAGCAAGAAGTAAGATACAAGGGGAAACCCTCTCCTTAGCCAGTGACATTGGGGTTTTGATGTGTTTGCTTATCTGAATATCTGAATCTGTCATCTGAAAGTTATGGACTATTGTAATTTTCACTGATATCTCTCCTTTCTGATTGACTCCCTATTGTACTAATGATCAGTATTATATAAAATGGTACTTCTTGGTCTCATGATTGCTTTACGTTAAATTCTGCTTTCCAGTCAGTTCATGATCCATTAATAATGGTGGCATTTAAGGGACCAACGAATCATGACTATCTCCCACCAAACTCACAACCAATTAAGATGTTGACACTAGACTTAGAGACATGAAGATCATGATAGAATGTATCGAAGAATTTGGTTATAGTTGCAACAACAGGTAATTTGTTCAACTAATAATTACTAAGCACCTACTATTTGACAGGTCTTGTTCTAGAACCTGAGAATACAGGAGTGGAAGAGGGAATAAAACCCTGCCTCCAGGAGCTTATATTCTAATGGAATCTAGATTCTCAATACATCCTCAATCTATAGCTTAGAACCCACCTATACTGGAAAATGGGTTTTTAGTGGAACTCACTCAGCTATCTGAGAGAAAGATTGCCTTGCACCTGTTGAACACCACTGGTGGGGAAAGAAAGAGGAGTTTCTAGATCTAACCCCAGAAGGCCAGGCCTACCTCTTTACCCATGGGTAAAAACTTCATGGAAGAGGAGAAAGAAGAGAGTATATCCATCCTGGGGGCTAGTTGGTCTACAATAGAGAAGGATAAAGTATAAGCCACGTTTATGAAGATCTTTACCTTAATTTTAATCAATTTAGATGTTGATATAATTGAAGGCATAGAAAAAGATTCTGGAAACATTATTCTAATACCATTTCTTCCAGGGAACAGTAACTCCCTATGGAGACAAGAAGGGAGGGAATAGATTTTTTTATTTTCTATAAAATGGCAGAAATGACGTCTAGTATTTAAATCAACTGACTTGCCTAGAACAGCTGGGAACATAGTAGGTATTCAATAAAGTCTTGTGGGTTTCTTGATTCCCAACATTCCCATTTGTACTTTGGTAAATTTCGGGACTAAAGAATCATCATAAAGGCCAGGCAAGCCTCTTTCTGTTCTGGGTCAAATATAAGAGTCTCACGCTGGTGCTGCTGCTTCTATTTCTCCTCATCCTCCTCCTCCTCCCCTCCTCCTCCCCCTCCTCCTCCTCCTTCTTCTTTTTAAATAATTATAGCATCAATAATATCACTTAATATTGTGAAGCAAGTGTTTTGTACTTGCCTGAGTAATACCCACTGTGTGCCTTGCTAAAATTACATGGTTCTTTCTGGATGGAAAACACTCTGTTTATAAAATGTCCTATTATCATGCTCGTGATGAATGAGCTGTGTTTATTTGTTTCTTTCCTGGCTGTCTTTAGGAGATGATCTAAGGTTAATGGTGGAAATGCTACCAAAATAAATGGTTTTGTGTAGTCAAATATTTCATCTGAGAACTCTGTTTCAGGAAACTTAGGAAGAAAACAAATGAGTACTTTTGGAGCATTTGAATTCATTCTTTAACTTCAGTGCTGCTAAGGTTTCCAAGATATGTTTAAAAGTGTATTTTCCAAGTTACCCACAAAGTCTACAATGCTTCCACCAACATGTCAATTAGGACATTATACATATTTTCTTCTGGAAAATCCTCAAAAGGATGTAGAAGATGATTTCTGATGCCTCTGTAAAATTGTCCATTTTCCACATGAAGTGGTTCCATAGAATCATAATCTTTCATGAGAGTGATATTCACCAGACCTGGCTTTAAAAATTTTCTTAAATTGACATCTTGTTCTGAAAATAAGCAGATGTAATATTCGCCACTAATCCTTACAAGTTTGGATGGCTTTGAAAAAAAGATGTGGTCTTGTGGGTAAAATATAGAACTTCAGTGTCATCGATTCTGATGCGGGTCAGACTTAGCGAAGAACCATTTGAGGCTTACATGGGGATTTCTCGCACTCTTGGTCAAAGTTCTACATAAATTGCTGCTCCTAAGTGATGTTGTCAAAGTGACGTCATCATCATTTCTTCCCCCCTGGGCTTTGCGATCCTTCCAAGAGGATCCTTCAGGTCCAGCCAAGTACAAAGGACTATTTCTCAGACATCTCGTTCCTGCAAGGATTTACATATTCAGAAATATTTGCAAATGCCAAAGTCATTTTTTTTTTTTTGTCTTGCAGACAATATTACTTTGGAGGTAAACAGAAGTTTAAACTTCAACAGTGGACTTAAAATGGCAGCTTACTAAGAGAAGGAGCCTATACTGTAAGAGATTTCTTTAAGATCAAGATTTTTTAGTTAGAAAAAATAAAAGGAAAGAAAAGAGAAGAGAAGAGAAGAAAAGAAAAAAGAAAAAGATTAATGTATACCAAATCCTGGCACAGCAAAGACAGTGAATTTTTCTTCCAAGTCCTTCTGGTGAACTCCAGCATAAGAGGTTATGCATCTGATTCTTGTAAACATTATTGTCTTTTTCTAAACTTTGAATTATGATACCTTTAGGGGAGGGGTCCAAAAGTGACTTAAAGGGAAGGGAAAGACTCATCATCAAGTGAAATTCCAGTGGCAGAGTTTCCAGTGAAAGGGAATTACTGGCTCCTTCAAGGGCTATATTCTATTTTTGTTCCTTAATTTATTATTATTCATTTCATATAAAATGAATTTAATTGCTTTGCATAATCACAAGAGTAACTTCTGCTCTTCTGAGGGTGGAAAATTTAGGCAACAGATAAGAGAGGAGAAAATGTTCACAATTCCACCTGCCTGTGGATAAGCAAAGTTAATTCAGGGTGTCACTTTGCAGATTTGTATTTGTTTATTTAATAAAAGATTGATTGATTCATTGATTTTCTGTGGCAGGTGCATTTCTAGGTGTTGGAGATAGAGGCAACTATAAGATGCTGTCTTCATGGAGCTTACGTTCTAGAGACAAAGACAAGCAAACAAGTAAATACTTTGATATATGAAATCGAGGCCGGGAGTGATAAGTGCCATTAAGAAATAGCTCCTGGGGGGGGGGGGCGCCTGGGTGGCGCAGTCGGTTAAGCGTCCGACTTCAGCTCAGGTCACGATCTCGCGGTCCGTGGGTTCGAGCCCCGCGTCGGGCTCTGGGCTGATGGCTCGGAGCCTGGAGCCTGTTTCCGATTCTGTGTCTCCCTCTCTCTCTGCCCCTCCCCCGTCCATGCTCTGTCTCTCTCTGTCCCAAAAATAAATAAACGTTGAAAAAAAAATTTAATAAAAAAAAAAAAAAAAGAAATAGCTCCTGGGGGTGGCTCAGTCAGTCAAGTGTCCAACTCTTGATTTCAGATCAGGTCGTGATCTCGTGGTCTTGAGATCGAGCCCCACGTGGGGCTCTGCACTGAACGTGGAGTCCACTTGAGATCCTCTTTCTCCCTCTCCCTCTGCCCCTCCTCCCAGCTCTTTCTCTCTCCCATTCTCTCTTTCTCTCTCTCTCAAAAAAAGTTCATAACATAGAAAATGATGGTAGAGTGGGGGGAGAGCGATTTTCAGCTCGAAAGGACTCTTTTGAAGAGGGGACATTTGAATAGAAACCAGAACAGACGAAGCTCTTAGGCTGTGTCAAGAGCTAGGAAAAGCCAGTCTGGCAGACAGCAGGTGAAAAGGCAGCAATAAGGAGATTGCGATGGCAGTTCAAGCAAAAGCAAGACAGCTAGTGTGGGGCACAGAGAGTAGGAAGGGGTGGAGTTACGTGAGAGTCAGAGGCCAGTTCAGATTGGGTACCACAGGACGTGGTCTGGATTTTATTCCAATCTGACTTGGATTTTTCCTAGGTTAGTTTGGTGGCTGTGTGAAGACTTTAGAGGAGCCGTAAAGGAAGCGGGAGGACTCGTTAGGGAATGTGTGCAATTGGCCACACAATGGGTACATATGTACGGATTGGGGTGGAAGCAATGGCCACCGTGACAAGTGGTCATTTGGTGGATTATTGTAGAGCTCTGGATGACAGGATTTGACGGTGCTTTGAATGTAGGGAAGGAGGTTAAGACATTCATCTATGAAGCTATTATAACATCACTTCTTTTACTGAACAGACTGTAGTCCAGCCAGCAATTGAGGTCTCCCTAAACTTCTTCCCGGCCAGATGGTAGTCAATAAACAGCCATCTCCGAGTTTATTTCTCCAATCTCCAGAAGAGAAAAACTCGGACTGTTTTTTAGTTGGAAACACTGAAATGACATTCTCGTACCTAGAACTACACATATCTGATCACTTCCAAAAGATGTTGCTGAAAACTGAATTGTTGGATCAAAGAGTTATTCACCTTTAAAATTTGGCACACTACTCGACCCTCCGTTCTCCACTTTAAGGCAATCCTGTGACGTGAACACTCCATTTCACGTTTTAGCAGCGGATGCAATTTGGGCTTGCCCATTCCACTACGCAATGGTCTTTCTAGATAAAATGGTGCATTGGTACAGCAGGTAGAAAGAAGGACATTTTCTGAGTGATTGTGGAGAGAAGATGATCTCTGGCTTGGAAGCTTTCCCTCTAGCATAGGAAGCCAGGATTTCCTCACCACCTGACTTTGGGTCACTCTTGGCCGCCAAGCTGCTGCTCAAAGCAAGCGTCCTTGTGCAACACCAGTTTGCGCGGTGGTCCTTGAGGTGGAATGAGCATCACAGAGGCAGCATCAGTTCCAGCTTAGAAGGACAGGAGGGATTTTTTTTTTTGGGAAAATGGGACAAAGGGGTACTTGCAAAAACTCCTTTAAAATTTTTGTTTAATGTTTACTTATTTTTGAGAGAGAGAGACAGAGACAGAGTGTGATCGGGGAAGGGGCAGAGAGAGAGGGAGAAGCAGAATCCGAAGCAGGCTCCAGGCTCCGAGCTGTCAGCACAGAGCCCGATGTGGGGCTTGAACTCACGAACCGCAAGATCATGACCTGAGCCGAAGTGAGACGCTGAACTCACCAAGCCACCCAGGCGCCCCACAAAAACTCCTTTTAAGTGGTTCTCCAGAATAACTAGTACAGCTAAAGAGAAAGAATGTATGTCTGCATCCAGATCTGAGCACTGGCCCTTACTAGCTCTGTGCTCTTGTCTAGGTGATTTCACTACTCTGGCCCTCACTCTCATTAGCTAAAAAACGAGACTTTGACTCCTACCTTGTGTGGTTAACCAATATAAGGGTGTTTGTCCAACAAGTTAAACTCAGGACATAGGACATACTTTTTGCCGCAACTGTTTACTGTGTGCATGCTATGTGCCAACTTATGTACCCAGTGCTTGATATCTATTATCCGTGATCTCATATATTTCTCATGGTAACATCAGCGTGGATGATATTTTTATGTCGTATTTCAGATGAGGAGAGTAAAAGTCACAGGGCTAACAAGCGGTAACTCTGGAGCATGAACTCCGGGTGTCTGATTGCAAAGAACCAACCTGTCCCAAGCACATTCTTGGTACTCAGTCTCAATTCTAGCCTTGATGGACTCTGGCAGGGGACATATTGGAGGCTTATCTTTCATCCGGAACTTGGTAGCAATAGCCACAGAGAAAATTGCCTTTGTCCTTGATTTGACCCAACCGCACTATCTGCTTCCTACTCAGATGTTCCTGGCTGATGGAACTCAAATTTAAAACGATCGGTTAGAGGTAACCATAAAGTCGTGGCAGGGGGTCTGTATCTGGTGGGAGATTTGAGATAATCCGTTGGATTATGGTCAATGATTCAGAGATGTTTTCTCTTCTCCAGCCTTCCCACTTTGACTCACAGGAAAGGAATTTCAGGCCTTTCGGAAAAGCCGAGAGCTTCTGCCCTCTCTTCCATCCCATACATGGAGGGAGCCACTTATCTGAATGGTGTGATTAGAGAAGCACGAGCCACTTCTGAGCTGGTCAGCCTGGACCTTGGAGGGTACAGTCTCTGTTATGTGGACACATCTTCTAAGTAGAAAGCAAACCTGGGATGCGTCCAGTCCAGACCGTGAGGCCTGCCCACCTCTGATCTCTTGGACTCACTTAGATGGGCAAGGTGCACGTCAGAACTAGGACTCGACCCTGACACTGGGTCACCGTGTGATTTGCACTTCACCATGACAATGCCATGGAAGTCCCACTTCAAAGCCCAAGAAACTCTCCCCGTATCATTTAACGAGGGTAGATTTAGTGGAAAGGAAAAGCGGATCCACCCTTGTCCTTTCCTTATTAAGTTAGTTGCTTTGTCCAACTTATTCTTTTTGATTACTAACCTCCATTGGCTCAGATCTGTCAGCTTTCTTTGGAAACAGGGGACAGAGACGTGACAGAGACATTCCAGGAAAGTACCTTTCCCAGGATTACAGACCTAGATGCGTGACCAGAGAGCTGGTCTTTGAGATCTATCCAGCAGTGAGAATTAAATACTACAAGTAGTATTCACAGAGACATCCAAAGAATATTCTAGAACAGAAGTCAGCAAATGATGTACCACGGGCCACACGTAGCCTGCGGCTACCTAGTTCTAGAGAATAATTTGTAGATTTGTCTGCTTATTTCTAAAAACAAACAAACAGACCATGCATGGCTGGGTGAGGTTTTCTTCCTACTTAAAAAACGAAAAAAAAAAAAAAAAAGATAGGTATTAGCATTACAGACAAGTTTAGAGGATATTAAGTCTTGGCTTACTCACGGGGGAGGGGGGCTCAGAGATACTGCAATCTGGCCTGAGTATAATAAACCCCTTTGTTACATTTAAATACCATCATACTATCTTATATACAGCAAAGCATCGAGATGTTTTATAGTAACAATGCGGCAGCACGAAAACCCCAGACAACTCTAAAAAGGCGCTAATTATTATTATTAGTGTTTTGCGCTAACAATAAATGTCAAACGGAACCCTGAAAACAAATAACTACCTGTCACCAAGTGAATGAAAGGCAATTTTAGTAAAGTGAATTAAAACCCCAAACATCACCAAGCCCAACCGGTGAGCAATGCCAAGGCAGCTTAGCAGATGCCTTGGTGAATGCCTTTTCTGGAGCTGCAGGGATAGGATGTCCTTGGGGCAGAGCACTGGGGACCAGTGCCAGCTCATTAGCACCCAGGGCACCTGGAAAGGGGAGGTGGGCCGGGCTGAGAGGAGGGGCAAGAGCACGTTCAGGCCCTCCGTCCCCGCAGACGGAAATTGGAGACCATTAGGAAAGAGAGAATCTTTATTTATTGGCCGGGCTGCAGCCTGCTTGAGTGTTATCAGTGAAAAATTAAAGTTGGACAGCAGAGCTCAGATTTGTTTTCCTGACATATTTCCCTTAGATTTTTCAAAGTGCATTCTGGGTGTCTCCCAAAGACTATTTTTTAAAAATAAATCGCACATTTTATTTTTTCAAACTTCATTTATCTTTGATATCTGATTGACATATTCAGGACAGTCTAATCCTTTCTGCTGAAGTGAGCTATGACAGGAGCTGCTACAGCAATCAACATCACAGAGCCCTCCCCAGGAACAGGGCTGTGTCTTCCCTTCTGCCAGGAAGAAGAATCTGGCGGGTTCTCTCTAGATGGCCGTGCAGGTGGTGGGATCCGTCCCTTGGGTAGGCAGAGAGAAGAGGCTTAGAGGCTTGAATCGGCTCTGTCTAATTACTGCAGAATCATCAGAGAAACCGGGAGCCTCATGAAAGAAGCAAGAGGCTGCGGCTTGTCTCTCTAATTTTCTTACTTTGTTATAACCACTGGGGAAGTCGGAGATACTTAGCCTTGTTACCATGAGCAGCTTTGTTTATTCGATCTGGTCCAGGACTGACTTCTCTCTCTCTCTCTGTCTCTCTCTCTCTTCCTCTCCTGACCTTTTCTTTCTCTTTCTTTCTTCTCAGTGTTGGCATTGATAACACAGCCACCCAGTT